CTTGACGCACACGCAGGTTGCCAGATTGACGACACCAACAGGAACGAGCGCACTTGACGATGAATGAAATGAAATACGCTCTGTTTTCCGCCAACTGGCAACCCGGGGTGACGAAATGCAATTGGATAAACTGGCAGTGGCAGAGACGGACATTCCGGCCCGGAACGCACATTTTCAAAAGAGAATAACTGACTGTAGCATTGTTTTTCAGATAAACAAGTATGTTAACTTAGCATGTTTCTTAAATATCTGCAAACATATTATGGTATTTTTATGCTTTAGTAGAGTCAAAAACTTACATACAGCACCTTTAAGATTTTTTTCTATTGCCATATTATTTTTATTACAATTAAGCTCATTTAAACCCCTCTACTTCATTTGTCAGTTTAGCTTAAGTATCATAAATGTCTACTTGAGATGTAGTGCGTGAGTCTCGTTGACCATCTTTATATTATTTTAGGATCCTTTTACTGTGCTTTTGTGTGATTTTAGACAGTGCCAGTCCTCATTTATTGTAATTTTATGGAAAAACACCAGAACAGCCTTTAAAATGTGTCTTTAATTTGTGCCCCACGGAAGAAAAGTCATGTGGGTTTGGAAAAAAGTATAGCCTTAATTGTCATTAAAAATAAAATGCATTTCATAAAATTTTAATGGTCCTAAAAATAGGTTTCATATTTTTTTTGTGGTACGCATATATTATTTTTTATTTATTTTATGTTTTATTTATTTCAATTTTACTTTTTATTTGATTGTTATTTATTTTTTTATCTCATGAATTTCTTCATGAGATAAGTCTTCATTTTGTGCTTAATTTAATTTAACACAATACCAAGATTTAAATGTTTAGAAGTGTAGGTATTGTAGGTGTTCTATATATTGTAAACCACCTGTGCTTACCGTGGAGTTTAACCCAGTGGACTTGGGGCTATTAAGCCACCAGAACTCTAAATTTAAAGTAACTCAAATGCCACAAGCTACATCAAAGTTTTTTTTTGGGGGGCAATGGGCATCATGTGTCTTTTTGATATTGTCAATGCAGAAGTACATCCAGGAGGCCAGGAACCTGGGCACCACTCTCCGCCAGCCCAAACTCTCCAACCTGTCACCTTCAGTCATCGCACAGACCAACTGGAAGTTTGTAGAGGGACTGTTAAAAGAGTGCAGAAATAAGGTGCGTGTTTTGATCCTTCTCTATATTTGAATTAATAAAACGGGTATTGATCCATCTGGGTGATCTGGGTAGATCAGGATATAAGCTATAATAACAACCCCATTTGATCTGGCTCAGACCAAACGCATGCTGGTGGAGAAGATGGGACGGGAAGCGGTGGAGCTGGGCCACGGGGAGGTTAGCATCACTGGTGTAGAGGAGAACACACTCATCGCCAGCTTGTGTGATCTGCTGGAAAGAATCTGGAGCCACGGTCTGCAGGTCAAGCAGGTACATAGACAACATAGACTGGGCATACAATGGGCTCTTATGAATGTGGTAATGTGTAATATGGTCAGCTTGTTTGACCAGGTCCTGCTCTGTGTGTTTGCCAGGGAAAATCTGCCTTGTGGTCTCACCTCTTACATTATCAGGAGAGTAAAGAGAAGAGAGACGCTACTCCAGCAGGCCTCGGCCCTCCTGGTAAAATACTAAGATGATACAGCATTTGCACATTGCAATTCCATACATCTAGCTGCCTACATAGAATTCTTCTTCTGAGGCGGCATGTTAGTCAAAATAGAACAGTGACTGATTTGAAAATCTCTACATAGGCAGCGCAACTCACGTTATCCACACAAAAGATTCCAACTTTAACTGCTAAAAACATTTAAAATGAAAACTATTTTAAAATATTAATACATTCAATAATAGTAAATACTACATTTTAAATATTGACTACAATATAAATATGTTTTTTATTTTGTTGCAATGCAGTCTGGGATATATGTTTTGCCTTAGAATTTTGTAAAAAATTAGGAAAAAAGGAAAAAACTTCCTATGATACTAAAAAGGCTTTCTAGGTAGGCAGCTCTCTGGGGTTTGGATCAGAGCCTGTATAGTGCTTGGATAGCTGGCTTTCATTGAAAACATGCTGAATAGGTTTGATTTTTCAGTGTATTTTCCCTGTTTTGTGTCTCAGGCATCATTCATGACACAGAGAGACGGAAGTCAGATGCTGGCTGTGCAATGCCTCCTCTCAAGGTCTCTATGATACAGGACATGAGGTGAGAATTAAACCATTATAGTGTAGAGAAAACAATCACACTACACAGAGAAGTGCTGATGCCGTCGCTTGTACTCTCAGTTTTTGGTTCTGGCAGTATGTTCTGAGTGGGTTTAGTCTTACATATTATGTTTGATTATCATACTACCCTTTTTCCACCAAAATGGTGCTGGTTCTTGTGTCGGGGCCAGGTTCTGAAGTGGGGGATCTGATCTCTCTCTGGGTAAATGATTTTGCGAAATTGATGATGCAAGAGCAAAAAAAAAAAAACATGTTTTATGGACATCCAATATTGACACCAAAGTTAGATATAATACTGTTTACAGCTGTTAATAAGGGCTCAGGAGCTGAAACACAATTATGGTAAGGGTGGTTACATTTCAAACACATGCTTTAAGCTGTTAACCAATCACAACAGACTGGGCCAGCTAACCAGTTATGAGGTTTTTGGAAAGGCGGGCTTTAAAGAGACAGAACTAAAACATTTCAGGCAGAGGGTGAAACTTCTTTTCTATGTTTCCCAAATCTTCAATTCGTCTCAGCGAATTTAACTATCTTAGACGCTGTTTAGAAGTGTAGGTATTGTAGGTGTTCTATATATTGTAAACCACCTGTGCTTACCGTGGCGTTTAACCCAGTGGACTTGGGGCTATTAAGCCACCAGAACTCTAAATTTAAAGTAACTCAAATGCCACAAGCTACATCAAAGTTTTTTTTTTTTGGGCAATGGGCATCATGTGACTTTTTGATATTGTCAATGCAGAAGTACATCCAGGAGGCCAGGAACCTGGGCACCACTCTCCGCCAGCCCAAACTCTCCAACCTGTCACCTTCAGTCATCGCACAGACCAACTGGAAGTTTGTAGAGGGACTGTTAAAAGAGTGCAGAAATAAGGTGCGTGTTTTGATCCTTCTCTATATTTGAATTAATAAAACGGGTATTGATCCATCTGGGTGATCCGGGTAGATCAGGATATAAGCTATAATAACAACCCCATTTGATCTGGCTCAGACCAAACGCATGCTGGTGGAGAAGATGGGACGGGAAGCGGTGGAGCTGGGCCACGGGGAGGTTAGCATCACTGGTGTAGAGGAGAACACACTCATCGCCAGCTTGTGTGATCTGCTGGAAAGAATCTGGAGCCACGGTCTGCAGGTCAAGCAGGTACATAGACAACATAGACTGGGCATACAATGGGCTCTTATGAATGTGGTAATGTGTAATATGGTCAGCTTGTTTGACCAGGTCCTGCTCTGTGTGTTTGCCAGGGAAAATCTGCCTTGTGGTCGCACCTCTTACATTATCAGGAGAGTAAAGAGAAGAGAGATGCTACTCCAGCAGGCCTCGGCCCTCCTGGTAAAATACTAAGATGATACAGCATTTGCACATTGTAATTCCATACATCTAGCTGCCTACATAGAATTCTTCTTCTGAGGCGGCATGTTAGTCAAAATAGAACAGTGACTGATTTGAAAATCTCTACATAGGCAGCGCAACTCACGTTATCCACACAAAAGATTCCAACTTTAACTGCTAAAAACATTTAAAATGAAAACTATTTTAAAATATTAATACATTCAATAATAGTAAATACTACATTTTAAATATTGACTACAATATAAATATGTTTTTTATTTTGTTGCAATGCAGTCTGGGATATATGTTTTGCCTTAGAATTTTGTAAAAAATTAGGAAAAAAGGAAAAAACTTCCTATGATGCTAAAAAGGCTTTCTAGGTAGGCAGCTCTCTGGGGTTTGGATCAGAGCCTGTATAGTGCTTGGATAGCTGGCTTTCATTGAAAACATGCTGAATAGGTTTGATTTTTCAGTGTATTTTCCCTGTTTTGTGTCTCAGGCATCATTCATGACACAGAGAGACGGAAGTCAGATGCTGGCTGTGCAATGCCTCCTCTCAAGGTCTCTATGATACAGGACATGAGGTGAGAATTAAACCATTATAGTGTAGAGAAAACAATCACACTACACAGAGAAGTGCTGATGCCGTCGCTTGTACTCTCAGTTTTTGGTTCTGGCAGTATGTTCTGAGTGGGTTTAGTCTTACATATTATGTTTGATTATCATACTACCCTTTTTCCACCAAAATGGTGCTGGTTCTTGTGTCGGGGCCAGGTTCTGAAGTGGGGGATCTGATCTCTCTCTGGGTAAATGATTTTGCGAAATTGATGATGCAAGAGCAAAAAAAAAAAAACATGTTTTATGGACATCCAATATTGACACCAAAGTTAGATATAATACTGTTTACAGCTGTTAATAAGGGCTCAGGAGCTGAAACACAATTATGGTAAGGGTGGTTACATTTCAAACACATGCTTTAAGCTGTTAACCAATCACAACAGACTGGGCCAGCTAACCAGTTATGAGGTTTTTGGAAAGGCGGGCTTTAAAGAGACAGAACTAAAACATTTCAGGCAGAGGGTGAAAAGAGGTGCTGCAGCAGTATATGGTATGAGAAAAATACAGTGTTTTTTTAACTTTAAATCATGTAAATATATTCTTGCAGACCCCAAAAATTAAATTATGAACTTGTAAATGAACATAATATGGGCTTTTCAAGAAGGTGAAAAATAGTGGCTGCAACAGTTACTGCAACAATGCAAAAGACATAGGAACAGGATGTCTATCAAATTAACTTACATCACTACATTAGTCATTTAAAGTGTTCTCTATTAATATGTCAAAATAAACTTGTTTTGTGTCTAAAAAAAACTATTAGAAAACTATTTTAAAAATCTAAAACAAACGGGAATCTTCTTAAAATTTTGAAAAAATGTGAAAATATACCCTGAAACCCAAGACCAAATATGGGATCATATGTTTGTTTGTTTGTTATGAAAATTATAGGTAGAGTGCTGCAGTGCAGTGAGTGTATGGGAAGGGGGGTCGACTCCTCACATTGCGTGAAGAAAGCACCGAGACGTTTCATGTCGCCACATTATTTCCAGCCTAATTAGCACCAGACCCCCTGCTGAGCTGTGCCGTGTCATAGCAGTGCGGGAAAGCCTTAGCATGACATCCCTCTCTTCAGCCATGTTAGGATCTCCTACTGAAAATGCTAACTGATAAACATACTATTTCAGTAATAGTGATTTGTGAAAGAAGCTTTTTTTCTGATGTCTGAGCAAGACAATGGCTCAGACATAAGTACATTAGGATTATGGCTGCAGGTCTACAAATTCAAATCTGGCCAGCATCTGGAGGGCAGCACTAAACGCTATAATACATTTATGTAATGGAAGGTCAGACAGTGTTGACTACCAGAGGTGGAGTGGAAGAGAATGCGTCTGGACGTGGCATGCATGATAGCGACTGCGAGCGATGACAGCAGGCTGGCTGATGCTCTAGGGAGTCTGTGAACCATTTCTCCTGCCCCCATTTTCTCTTCTGAAAAGGCTCCTGAGAATGCTGGCAAATTTCCACTGCACTGCAAGCACGGAGTGGGTTCAATGAACCTGTGCACGACAGGTTATGGCGGTATCTAGACGAGCTCTTTTGATTCTTATAGAGTCATGGTGCAATCTCACTTATTGTTGTTAGGCGAATTTTCATGGGAGAAATACAGTGATTTGAATTGGAATCCATCCAATTGGGAACTCCGTGTGAGAGTGAAACTGGTTCAAGTTGGTTATGCGCATTTGCTGCGCTGGCCAACAGAAAGCTGCTTGGTTTGAAAGTGACTTCCGTGTAAGTTGTGCTTCATACATCAATTCACTATTGACAATAGATAACTGACCTTTTTTGTATTCAAAAATTCTCTGAAATTTTGCTAGTGTGACCGCACCTCAATACTGATTCTAATTAGAGGTAGAGATTTGAGTTGATTTCATATATAACAATAGAGTATATTTACTATATATGGAGTATACATTTCATTGAGTTAACATGAATGATGTCTCAAATCAGGCAGCTTCCTGAAAAGATGTGTGCTGTGGCTTAAGATTTGCCTGGCAGGTGATAAAACAAGCAAAAATCCCATAGACTTGCACAGAATAGAGTGCTGCAGTGATTATGTATTTTTAGGCCAAACAGGAAGTCAGCATCACCCTGGTTCAACCCAACAGGATTCTTCCAGGCATCCAGGCTTGGATTATTAAAATAAGCTCTGTAGCCAACAAACGTTTATGATCCTTACAAGTTTTGTTCATCATGATAATCTTCAAAAATGAACACAACTTTTATCAATTTTGAAGCCTAAATACAATCAGCAGAAGTATAACGCTAAACGTGGACTATAAACGAACTACACCATGGTCACATGACTTCATCATCACCACCATTAAAGGTGGGGTAAGCGATTTCTGGTATTCATGACGTATTGACACAAATTTCAAATGATTTTCAACGGTTGCTTAGTTTTTTGATTTTCAACAGACTTTAGCTGTTGCGGCGCAGATACGGTGTTACTCACCTGTCGAGAAGAAACAAAGCAACCTCAGGCGTCTGATCACAGGCCTTCCGCTCTTTGAGTTCTCTCCAGCGCTGGAAAGCTGATCCGATATTTACACGGGTCCTACTTCTTGCCTTAAGCCTTCTTTTGTTCCGCAGACGTTTTCCTCTTTTGTTCTTTATCCGCCACCTCTATCTTTCTGTCCCTCCTGTGCACTGAACGCGCTCTCCTCCACATCATGAGTAGACATGCCCCTTACTGCTGATTGGCAACAAGTTTGTTTTGCTATTCGGCCCGAATCAGTTTTCTAAAGTGTTTTTGAAAAATCGCTTACCCCACCTTTAAGCTTCTGACAACTCTTTCAGTCTTTAAAAAAAGAAATTCCTGAAATTCCCTTTGCAAGAGCATGATAAACACAGTGAGGCTGTGAAAACAACTAGTAGATGAGTTTTCCTTTTCAGTGTGATCATGTTTTATGTAACTGTTAACTTCTGTAGTCCCATTTAGCCACTTGTTAGCAACCGTCTTTTTTAAAGACAAGTAAAAGCTTTTAAAAAAATCACAAGGGGGTATTACAGATGTATTTAATGTTAAAGATGAAAAGGTTTAAATATCTTGAGCTTGTGTTCACCACAGACCTTATTTCAAGCATTTAACCAAAATAAAACACTTTGACTTTAGGACGATGGAACCAAGTGCCAAAACCCACATGAAAAAATACTATAGTAATTTATAGTAAATACTATAATGTTTTTGAACCATACTATAGTAAAGTACTTGAATTAATTTGTTGTGGTAATTCTATAGTTGCTGTGGTAATATAACACAACTATAGTAATATAAACAAGTATATATAAGTTTTCTACAACTATAGGGTATATTATACTACAATACACTACAGTTTACTGTAGTAAAAACTAAAGTATACTACATTATTTATTACAGTTTATCAGTTCACTATAGTTAATACTACAGTATGCTGTAGCATTCATTAAAAAGTGTTGTAAATACTATAATATATACAGTATAATACACTTTACTATAGTATGGTACAAAAACACTACAGTATTTACTATAAACTTTTTTTTTTTTAACTTTTGGCCTACAAAAATATGTAATCCCTGTAGCACTCTATATGATAGAGTGAACAATGATGTAGCAACGCCCTAGATACCACTCAGGAAACATTAACTACTTAGCAACACCCTGGCACCCTCCCACAGCATTCTAGTATCATGGTGGTGAGTTTTGCACAGGCAAGCACCACTCATTTTACAATTTTACAATTAATTTGTCAACCTTTCTTTTTGAATCATCCTTTTGAGGTTTATGTTTTTATAATGTAATTTTTATATTGTGTATGTATTATTCTAGGCATCTTAGAATCTCTAGAGAAAGAAACTCTTCTCTGGCAGTGTTATTAAAAAAATTAAATGACTGACTCCAACACTGTGTCCTAACCAGACATGATGCGATTAGATTCCAGTGACAGGCAATTTGTCTGTCCACACTAGACATGACACGACCAAAAGACACAACAAAATCAATCACAAATCAATTAGCCAATCAGAAGAGCATTTGGACAGGCTTTCTCTGCAAGTGCGCTTCTGTCTCGAAATTCAGATTCAAATTAAACCATATTAACATTGTTCAGATTACATACCCAGTGACTGATACAGTGTTTGTCATTAAAATACAATTGCTTGTTCACTTTAGAGTTCACAGTTTGAACTTTCTTATTTACTTTATTTTATTATTTTCAAGGTAAATTATTGAGCTGTTACTTTGACAATTAATATTACAGTCATGCAAAAAGTATATTTGAACTCTGTTCCCTGTTGCTCATACTGTAGCATATCGTCATTGCGGCTAGTTAGAACAATAACTTGGAGAAAATTTTCATGATTAAGGAAAATATTTAATCACGTGTCGCAGCGCTGGTTAGAAGTCACGTCTGGTTAGGACATGCTGAAACTCATTTACTTAATTCTGGTAGAAATTGGCATTTGAAGTCCAATTATGTGACTGTAATTCACTGTCTGTCATTCTTCAGGCACATCCAGAACATCAGTGAGATCAAGACAGACGTTGGGAAGGCCAGGGCATGGGTTCGTCTTTCCATGGAGAAGAAACTGCTGTCCAGGCACCTGAAGCAGCTGCTGTCTGACCATGAGCTCACCAAGTAAGACCTATTGACTAGTTCTTTAGTGACATAGAAAGCGGTGTTATGAATCAGATGTACTGTTTGATATCAGAAAGTTAAAATACAGGAGATGTAGCACAGTAAAGAATAAGACACCATTAAAAATGAAGATTTTTTTGTTTTATTATTAATGAGCCTTGAACAGTAAAGTGGCTCGTCCTCACTAAAGAGTTCTTTGTGGTGTCCTCTTCTGACCTGTAATGCATTTGAACTCATTTTTTCGGGCTCTTTGCTCATGCACTTAACTTTCAACTGTTTCCTTTTAAAGCTTTTGTGTTTAGGTTTGTACTGTATGGTTCCATGTGTTTGGTTGTATTTGTTTGAAGGAAACTCTATAAGCGCTATGCTTTCCTGCGCTGTGATGATGAGAAGGAGCAGTTCCTCTACCATCTCCTCTCTTTCAACGCAGTGGACTACTTCTGCTTTACCAATGTCTTCACCACAATTAGTAAGAGTCACCAAACTCTCACTACAAACACAGTATACCATTAAAGGGATAGTCAACCTAAAAATCAAATAATGTTGTGTTGGTAACCAAACAGTTTTGTTTCCATTGTATTCCGTTATATGTTTTGACCATACAGTGGGAGTCAATGGGAACTTAAACTGTTGGTTACCAAAAAAAAATCTTATTTTGTATTTCACAGAAGAATGATCTATATTCTGTATTTTGCAACCTTGGTGATAATCAATATATATCTTGATACTGAAATGTTTTTCTTTCATAATTTAGATGAAACAGACATAGCAAACACACAGATTCAGATTGTAAATATATATATATATATACTGTATATATCTAGATAAAAAAAAAAAAGCACTGTTTTGGAGGCATGTTCAGTGTCTTAACACTTTCAAATTTATGGTTCATAAACAAACACGTTGCATTAAATTATCATAATATTCATGAGGTTGCTTACTAATATAACACTAGCATTATAATTGTGACTACTGATATCATGTATATTAAATAAATTAAAGGGATACTCCACCCAAAAACAAAAACTCTGTCATCATTTACTCACCCTTTTTTTCTGTGGAACACAAACAGAGATTTTTAGAAAAATAATCCATCTCTGTGAGTCCATGTAATGGATGGGTCCCTCAAAGTTGATACTTTAAAAACCACACTAAACGAACTTGACTGTAACATACAACCCCAGTTTATGAATCAAGTTGATGAATCAACTGGAGTCATATGGTTTACTGTCGTGTTCGTTTTTGTGTGGTTTTTAAAGCATCAGCTTTGATGGACCCATCCACTTGTATTATATAGACTCACAGAGATTTATTATTTTTCTAAAAAATCTCTGTTTGTGTTCATCTGAAGAAAGAAAGTCATATACATCTGGGACAGCATGAGGGTGAGTAAATGATGGGAGAATTTTACTTTTTGGGTGGACTATCCATTTAACTCTGCTATCAAAAACCTCTGCACTCTGCTTTTCTTCTCTTGACCTTGTCTTTGTTGTTGTTGTTCACAGTGATACCATACCATGTGGTCATCATTCCCAGCAAGAAACTAGGTGGCTCCATGTTTACGGCTAACCCCTGGGTGTGTGTGTCAGGGGAGCTAGCTGAGACTGGAGTCCTGCAGGTCCCCAAAAACACTCTGGAGATTACATTTGAGGTGAGCCAATATATATCGACACACCTACATATTTTTGCCTATTACTCTGGATTCACTATATATTACGACTGGGTTGAAAATATTTCTTGATTGGGTTGAAAATATTTCTTAATTTTAATAGATTCTCATTTTGATTAACAGATAATGATTCTTAGGGTGCATTCACACTTGGCATGTTTGGTTCGCTGTCATAAATGCCAATGTGAACGCTAAGCGGACCAGGACCAAATGTATAATTTTCCTTTTTGGTCCGGACTAAATGAACCAATCTGTGCTGTCTTCAATTGATGCGTGAACAAAACTTACTGAAACATTATTTTTAGCGTGCCTCCCATCCAGTAAATCGCAATGAGCATTGTGCTTTGTTAGTTTTGATATGAAACAAAGTCTCAGCTTTCAAATTCTGTCGATTTTATTACAAAAT